TCGGTAGTGAGACCTTTAGCTCTGCACACAGTAATTCCTGGAGGAATTTGTGGCTTTTCTTACAAAGCAAAGCTTCTCTTTTAGCCCCACAATGTTTAAGGTTTCATCGATCCCTGATTTTGCAAATAATCGCTCAACATTAGTTGCTGATGACGTGCTATAGTTTTTATCTGGTGTTTTGTTGTTTTGATGCTGCCATTAATTTTAGAAAGTCTCAGATACTTTTATGTTACTGATGACATACAAAACTATATGTTCTCACACACACACACACACACACACACACACACACGCACGAGAGAGAGGGAGAGAGTAATGTAATTTTATGTAAAACTACATATCGGTAGAACCATTAACATATTATATACCTGTATAGCACCTGTACATTATTATTCATTAAGTTCTGATAGGTTGTGTGAAGTGAAAGAGAAACCAAACGGTTATATACAGTATTTGGGCCTTGTGGAAAGTAAAGAGCATATCAGATTTCATTTATTACAGTAGACAGAGAGAATAATTCTGTTTACTGTTTAGTATTCTTGGTGTTGGCTACCTATAATTAGAGCAGGGTAAGACTTAGAAGGAGTAGAAAAAATAGTTATTGATTGTAATACAGTAGTGGAAAATGTGTGTGGTAGTTGTGGACAAAAAAGGGATGCATTTTCAGCAACAAATTAATTAAAGACAGTGTCAGAGTAAATTTGCACAGGACATTTTAGCTTAGTGGAGTACTGAATAAGTATGATTGTGTTTGAAGTTTGAAAAGCTTTTTAAATAAGAATTAAGGAATGAAACAAGACTGTATTTGGTAGTGTTGTTAGTAGGATAAAGTGGATACTATAAGAAGAAAAAAAAATGGATTTTAACCCTTTTACTGCATACATATATTTTCTATATATATATATATGTCACAAAAATTCTCTAATATTTGTGCCATTTGAAGAAAATTTTATATACATCCAAAAATTAGAGAAAAATGAAAATCATCATCAGGCAAATGGTACATATGTCATTTAGTTGAAATAAGTCAAGCAGCGGCTGATTTGCTTAATTATTATAAATCATGTTAATGAAAATACCAAATACAGTACAGTAGAACATTATGCACATTATAAATTACTATTTTAACAATACAGTGTACTAAATAAAAAGGCGGATCCTAAATATAAAGATATTCGCACAAGCTACATACAGTATTGTGAAAATTAGATCCTATATATTTATCTTATAATAAATAATGATACAGTACAGTTATGGCAAAATGATTTTAGTACTGTACGAATTATATATTATGAAGCATTGCAAAATTATATAAAAAAACATTACATTACACTACAGTATATAGAAAGTAAGGCCAATATCATTCATATAAACAAATACTGTATACAATATTTTACTGCGCTAACATACTTTCCTAAATCTGGTTAGGTTATAGTTGACTAATAAATTGAGAAGATACTACTTAAGAGACAAGAGTAAGGGCCATTTACCATGTTGTCAGTCAGTTGATTGAATATTTACACAATGCTGCTGCTTTGAGCTATACATAGAAAGTAGCACTCTACAACCAGAATGTGCCTGTAAAAGGAGATCAACATGCCTGTCAATGTCAGAGGAGACTACAGCCTCCATTACATGTCTACAAATAAAAAAAAATGGCCATTCTCAGGTACTATACAAAAATGAATAGTAATAATGTATATACAGTACCTATACAGTATATAAATTTAACTGTATTACACTATACAGTAATATGAATACAGTAAACCCTCGATACTCATGGTTTCAGGATTCACAAGTTTTGCTTATTCACGATTTAGTATATATACAGTATATCTTAACCATTTGCAACCCCTGACTTGTAGTATTTGTAATTTTTCAAGGAGTCAAAGTTCATGCATCATTGGGGTGAAACATTATATATCCATGAATTATCATCATATACTATATTGTAACCGTACAGTGCTGGTAAAACCACATTCATTTCCCATAAACCACTTTCAAATTTACATAAGAATCAGAGAATGTTAAATTTTTACATTAATCAGTGTTGCATTAAGGTAAATTTTCACTCGGTTTATCCTTCGTGCTGTGTGTAGTACAGTACGTTGATTTCCATATTTTGGCGTTAAAAAATCATTAGATATTAAAGATCCCTTGCTAATATTACTCTACTTAGTCTACTAGAAATATAGATATCTTCCTAATAAATAATAAACATGACTTGGGATATTACTGCCAATCTAACGACTGCAGTCTGTGTTAAACACTTAAATGTGTTAGCCACTTCCGGTATATAGATCAGTGGTCCTCCCACCTCTATATTACAGTACTGAGAAAATGTATATAAGGATAATTTAAAACTTATGGGCTCAACGTATTTGACGTACAGGAGTATTAAATTTTATATACAGTATATATTAATTTATTTCAGAGCTCATTAATTATCGTCACTCACACAATGGCACAAATTATTATTGTCAGCATCAAAGATACCTGAAAATATAACACTGTCCATAGATTATTAATATTTAGAGATTCAGTACAGTGTTTGTTGAAGTCATTGTTCAACACCCCCTATTTATTTGGACCAGAAATCTAACCCCTTTTTTCTGTTGACGTGAAGCTTCCACATTCTTAGTTTCTGCATTCATTTTATTTTATTTTAGTTTATATTTTGAGAAACCTAATCCTCAAGAGTATTGAGGGTCTGCTGTATACTGTACAGTACAGTATGTAAGTGAGATTAACCTCAAATCACAGAGATACTAAATGCACAAGAGGCAACATAGCAACTGTAAACACATACTGTACACTAAATCTGGTGTTGCTCGCCAATGGCAGCACATGTGGAGTTGTGGCTAAAATTTCAAACTCGAGTTGGTAACTCTGTTGTTTGCTGTTGGAGGATTTTTTCATTTTTAGCCGTGGGTAAACTCATATCCCGCATCAGTGGCTATAAATGCCAAAACGGATATACCTGCCCTCTGCAGCGAACAGATTAAAAGTTGAGAATTCCATAATTTTATTTTAGTAAAGAAAAGACATTGTGTGAATGTATTTAATATTTGGGGTATAATATATTTAAACTTGTGTTAAGTAGAGGTGCTCATGAAGATACATAATAGAGCTTTACTGCTTGCTTAAATATCAGTACCTTTAGTTGATGTGGAGGTATTTAGAATATGTGATGAGAATGACTGTAAGAGAACTCGTTTAAAAATATTAACAAAATAAACCAAGATTTAGTGAGTGTAACTATAAAGGCTCTGGTAGTGGGTCAATTTCATAACAGAGGAATCAGTGAAGGAATTGGTAAATAATAATATACAAAACCTTTCATTTAGAGTTCTTTAGAGTCTTACAGAGAGGGAAAGTTGCCCAAAGACAGGATGGGTTTCCCAAATATTAGGATAATTTAAAAGATTGAATTTTATAAAAGGTTATGTGTGACAATTAACAAAATGTTTGAGTAAATGATAATTATATTAAAACAATTATTTAAAGACTGGGATTTATGGTTGAGAGCTTAACTTGGAAAATGCTAGTTTAGAAAATGTTGGGAAAGAGGAGGAAGGATTGTGAATTGTTTTAAAACTACTGTATACAAATTGTGAAAATCAATGACCCAAAAGTAGCTAAAGGCTACTGAGTAATTGAGTCAAGCATGAGGGATGTAGGAATGGTTGAAATTTAATGACACTGATGATTTACAAAATTGTAAAAATAAAAAAAATAAAACAACGAAGAATAAATTAAAATGTGTGAAAAAAAGGGGGTTAGGCTACCAATCTGTGTAGCAAGTTGATTCTAATGTTATTTTTCTCTTGTCATATTGAACACAATTGCTAGGGACCTGGAAAGAATATTTTTCCATGTGTGCATCTGTTTATGCTTCATCGGAACTTGATGAATTGGACATACAGAAATGGATTTCAATAAGATAATGAAAGAATTTATTAAATCTTTATATTCCCCCTTATTATGGAAAGTTATGGTCCATTTTGTCTATTGTATCGGGGACCATGGACCCATATGATCGACTTTTTATTTTGGAGAGAACTCATTCATGACCCCTGGTCTTAAATCTTAATGATTAAATATTTTTGATTACCGTAGGTAGAGGTTTCTAAGTGGGTCTCTTGTAGAAATATTTGAGACAAGTACAGTACAGTATGGATATGCTGTACCAAATTAAAAAGTGTTTGGTAGATATTTGTACAATAATTACACAATCTCTTAGCATTAGTATATCTTGTTAAGACTCAAAATAACTGGTTGTGTTTAGAACTCTATTTGTAGTTGGATGACAGGAATTGCTTAAAAATTAATGGTTCAGGTCAAGTTTTACTTGTCTGTTATTATGTTTTACAATGACATTGATTAATGAAAGGCTACCTAATACTCTACAGTTTGAGAGATTTGGGAAGTTTTATGTTTGAGATCCTAATATTTGTAGCTTTTAGTTGAAATAATTGTTTTTCTCAATAAGGGGAAGGAAATTGGGATGGAAAGATTATTAATTTATTGGTATTTTACTCAGCCAATTCCACTTTTTGGCATTTAACACAAATTCTCACACAACAGACATGCATGTCATCACATTCTCAATTAAATTCTTCAAACATTCATGTATACAGGCACACACTCGCACATGCACAAGAGTACAGTATGCCATTCTCTACTTGATGTCATTCAACTCTATTTTCCTCATTGATTGTAGAAGCTAGTCAAGACCTTTTCCTCTAGTGTCTAGGAATAGACAGTCCAGTAGTAATAGTTATATGATACTAAAACTAATGAAAATAAATGTGTGTAGATTATAAAATGAATAAATTTCACATTCTTTTCTTTATAATTTTATATTGTGATTGAATTTTAATACAACAACTAGTAGAAAGCAATGAAAGCATTATCCTTAATATATCTTTTGAGTGTGTATAAAACCTGACTCCTGCATAAGTACTTTGTTGTCTTGAATGAGTACGTTTATTGTACAGTAAACACTTCAGAGTGGAAGTGGAGAGATCTGACTTTGGTGGCTGCAGTGGCTGTGTGTCTCCTACTCATCGTCGTCCTTGTTGCTGTGATGTGCTACTGGCACCACCGAAAGGTACTGTACTGTACACCTTTACTTATGCATCTTCTTTTATAGTACAGTATGTCCAAATGTGCCATCTTTGCAAAATTTGTGTGTGTGTGTGTGTGTGTGTGTATATATATATATATATATATATATATATATATATATATATATATATATATATATATATATATATATATATATATATATATATATATATATATATATATATATATATATATATATTATTTTTTTATTCTGTATACAGTATATATATTTTACAGGCGATTTGTCTACTCACCTATTTTCAGATTAATTACACTTTGTGTGAATTAACTGCACCTACGTTCTGGATACAGTATATTATTTAGTATGACCTGACCTAGGAAATAGAGTTCATTTTACATTTTAAAATGAACTTTTCACAATAAAATATTGGTGTGGGACCTTCCTTAGAAAGGTATATCCGTACTGTATCCAGTTATCGTAAGTTTTTGTGATTGCATGAAGTTTAAATTTTTATCATAAACCGAAAAAAGTAATCAAGCTAACCCTTCATGATCTTAGACTCACTTTTGGCCTTGCATTAATAGAGGTACAGTATTAAAAATTCATCCTTGTGAGGTCTACTTGAGTTATGTCATGGATTTGTCTTTTTTTTACATGATAGTGATGTAATTTCATCCATAACTGGAAATGTACAGGAGTGTTTGCTTCATCATCATTGTTATCAGTGTCATTCATAAAACTTCTTAAAAACTTGGTCTTTGTTCTGGAGGGCAATGATAACAATGAATATAGAGAGAGAGATGAAAGAAAATTAATTGGAAGAAGAAACAGTTTCATCATTTTTCCTATGGTAATGTTTTGGCAGGTAATGCATAGTGATATTTGCCCCTACTCATAAGTTATATACACTGTATACTTAAATTACAGCTGATTATGGATATTTAAAGTGGATCTTGTTAAACCTACCAGCTTTAGAATTTAAGTCTACTGTATTAATAAATATATTTTCCATGTCCATTTCGTTTTTATTACATACAGTTTTTCATTCAATAAATGCACTTGCAGCAACGAAGTGAAAGAATCCGGCGAGGTTTCCCAGATGTAGAATCAATCCTAGACCGATCTGAAGTGCCGCTAATGGGGCCCCATACACCAATCAGAGACTTTATTGAACTAACCTCCAGTGGCTCTGGTTCAGGTAAGTACAGTATATCATTCAAGAGAGAACATCAGAAATTAGTTGTTCTAGGTATGAAAGAGCAAGTGAACGAAATTTAGAATAAAATACTCTACATTTAATCCTGAATTTAGGTGATTCGTCAAAGAGGCCCTCAGCTCTAATTGGTCCAAATTATAATTTGCTTCAGTCATATTGGTTGAATCATTTTGGATTAGGATCTGTTTGACTTGCAATCCTGAATATATTAGTGTGACTACAGGTACTTTCTAAAAACCCGAAATTATTGAAGTACCTATTGGACCTTTCTGTTTACTACACTTAAGGAGGTACAGTAGTAGCATAAGGTTATGGCATTGCTTTCACTTCATTTGCATCTTTACATAGAAGTATGTCAGACTGTTCCTTTACATTGGCTTGACATTCCAACAGGGTTCCTGTCTGCTTAATTTCATTGCTTAACAAACTCTTAAAGAAAATAAAAATTTTCTCACTATTGAAAGCCTAATTATTGAGATAATTTTTACTTTTTAATTTTGCAGGGTTACCATTGTTAGTTCAACGAAGTATTGCACGTCAAATCCAGCTTATAGAAATTATTGGTAAAGGACGGTTTGGAGAGGTGTGGCGAGGCCGATGGCGTGGTGAATATGTTGCTGTTAAAATATTCTCATCTAGGTAAGTGTTTGTTTTGTTTGCTAGCAACATTATCATTTGGAAGAAGAATGTTGTTTTGAAATATGTGACAGTAGCAGGCCTGTTTAATTTCTACAGATGTAAAAACATATGATAAGAAAGGAACACAGACATTATTTGATTGTGGGAACACAGACATTATTTGATTGTGGGAACACAGACATTATTTGATTGTGGGAACACAGACATTATTTGATTGTGGGAACACAGACATTATTTGATTGTGTAAGTTAAATTAAAAGGTTATAAAGAGGAGGAGGAAATGGATAGTTTGACAATATGATCATGCACAGTAAAATGGCAGGGGTTTTGTAAATGAAAGCTTGCTGTGACTATAAAAGGAAGTTGCAAACTCTATTGAACACTGAATAATTGACTTTACAAGTAGGTTAGCATGGCTAAAAATGAAAGTGGCTGCAAGTACACCGAAGAATATACAGGCATGAAAGTTTTCTGCCAGTTGGTGGACTTGCAACTTTTTAAATACCAAGTTGGTCATTCTGGAGATTTTTGTTTCAGTTTTACAAATGCCACTTGATAAAATATTTTTACTGGGCTTTTGCTTTTCCTAATACTTTTTATTAGACAGTCTGTCAATTTCCTTTAAAAGGAAATGGTATTTCTAAGACAGGGTACTTAGGGTAGTTTTATACCACTTGATTTCCTCCCTTACCTTTGTAGCTGGCAAACATTTATTTTTGCAACAAATTACTTAGCTCTGACATGGATGCAGATGGCTCCCCTGACAAGGCAGTATATGCCAGAGAAAGTTTTAGTGGTGGAATTGCAGGTCATAAAGGATTTTATTCAGTACATTTCAATCTTGTGTCTTATGGCTACCACCTGTATACACTTGGTCATCATTTGTAAGCTATACACTTGGTCATTCATTGTCTTATTAGTTACACAGTACCGGTATGTATTTTCCACCATTGTAAACTACCTTAGGGTGTTACAATAATCTATGGCTCTGCTCCTGGTTTGGGAATGTATAAATCAGGGGTGTCAAACTCATGGCCCGCAGGCCAAATGGGGCCCTTGGGATGGTCAGCTGTGGCCCGCGGGATGATGGTAAAATTTATCATCCCGTGAAATTATGAAAGAAATAGATATAATCATGTTTATTTAATATAATGAATTTTACATACTTAAGATCAGACAAACCCAAATGAGGTATTCCTGGTAGCCAGGTAAGGCAATGTGTGAGCTGTAAACTTCAATCCAGCAAATATGTGATATAGCACTTGTGTTGGCCCAGAAGAGGGTAACTAAAATAAGAATTGGCCCTCGAAAGGTTTTGAGTTTGACACCACTGGTATAAATGGAACAAACTGTAGGTTAAGAGATATGCCCAAACTAGGTTTATTAAAGTGGTATTTTCTAGGACCAATCAGGCCAAATTGTTTTTTTACATAGTCTGGGGTGGTCTGTTTTGATGAAACGTGTACGTACGGTACTGAAATATTCTTTACTTATTTAATTGAGCGTTAGTATGATTAAGCGTTTTTAATAACTTGCTTTTTTAATTTAGATTTTCTGTTTCCTCAGGGATGAGAGATCTTGGTTCCGTGAGGTAGAAATATACCAAACAGTGATGTTGCGACACGACAATCTTCTTGGTTTTATTGCTGCTGACAACAAAGGTGAGTACAGGATTCTGAACTATTATACTGGCTTGACTTAGGTAAGTGTATGTTCTGTATTTGTGACTTAAATCCTTTGTGCACTGGGTCCTCTCTAAGCTGAATAAAATTGTCTGGCGTTAACCAAATAAAATATTAAAAGTGGCATCCACATAGTGAAGGGGTTTAAAAGAGGAAAACTGTCTAGCTTGCTTATGTGAAACATTTTTTTTCTGAAGTCCGTTAAATTGTTTATACTGTACATATACAGTATACGTACAGTATTATCTCCGTTAGCTGGAATCCCTCAAACCCGGAACTCTCCGATAGCCGGAATTGAAATTTTCTCTGAAAATCGTTCTCAAAGCCAGAATTTTCCAGAAAATTTTGGCTTTGGGATCAATTTTCCGAGGGGCACATTTTCCAGAAATTCTGAGAAATTTTTCCGGATACCTGGAAAATTCCGTGAAAATTCCAGTGATGGGAGAGTTTTTTCTGGGTTTGAGAGATGAAAATCTGGCGCATTTTCTGGAACTTCCTAGAACATTTTTCCGTCACCTGGAAAATTCAAGGGATTAGGGGATTTTTTCCTGCTTTGAGAGTCGTTGCGTTACCCAGAAATCTTTCATCCCCGGAAGTGCTCTGCACCAATTGTTCCGGCTAACGGGGATATCACTGTACTGGTATCTGTCTTTCATAATTGTTCATATTTTATAATGAGTAAAAGGCCAGTATGCCATTTTATATATTAATAATGTATTACTGTATTCTATTCTAATTGAACAATACTTTTCAATTACTTTTGATTAAAAGGTTAGGTATACCAGATGCACACTTGATGGTCTAACTGCCCTGTGTGGGTTTGGGTCTGTTTAGCATTCACAAACTGTGGATAGATTTTTAAATAAAGAATTCCATGGCCAAATTTCAGCTGAAGTGAAGGATTGTGTGTTCCCTCCTTTATGTTAGCCCTTATACTGTATACTCGAAACCAAAATGAACACACTTGGGTGCACTTGCTAGGGGTAAAATAACCCTTCTGTTGACAAGCAACCTGCCCTGGGGGTGGGTTATGCCACAAGCTACTGAATGCTAAGAATTAGGGATATGATCCCTGTCTTGACACCCTACAACGTAGCATTAATAGGCTTGAATGAGTAAAAAAGAAAGAAAAAAGATTCATATGATGATAATAAAATGCTGTATTACTCTTTAATTTAACAGATAATGGGACTTGGACCCAGTTATGGCTAGTGACAGACTACCATGAGAATGGATCACTATTTGACTACTTAATGCGATATACAGTAGATACTGCTGGAATGATACGTATGGCATTATCTATTGCTACTGGCCTGTCTCATCTCCACATGGATATCATGGGTAACAAAGGTAAGAAATTATATATTGTATATACAACTTATTGTGTAAAGTGTAGTGCTCTGTTATACAAAGATAATACTGATGTACTGTACAGGTATTTGTTTGCTAAAGTTATTGGCAGTAAGAAGCAGATTGTTTGAGGATTGAATTGTTATTTTGTCTTTTTCCAGGGAAACCAGCTATTGCACATAGAGATTTGAAAAGTAAAAATATCCTTGTCAAATCAAATGGTACTTGTGCCATAGCAGACTTAGGTTTGGCTGTGAGATACGACTCAAATACCGACACTGTAGATATTGTCCCTAATAATAGAGTGGGTACCAAGAGATACTTAGCTCCTGAGGTGAGTGATGTCTGTTAATAGATTAAGAAGTTATATTTAAGATTTGGAAGGAATGGTTTCTTTAGGTGGATTGTATGTATTTCTGCAGGCATGGGGTGAATAGGAATTTAACTTTCCAGTGTATGTGCGTGTGTGCACCCTACGCTGCAGAACCATTCAATAATTTGATACTATCGTATTGTAGTTTGAGTCTCATTAATGATTTATATGGGTTTATTAAGCTGACAAAAGTCTCATAGTTTTACCAGAATTTATTTTTATGGTTTGTCATTGGTCACTTAATTAAATTTCTGGTTTTAGTCTTTAATCATATATTTGCCTTTGTGCGAGATACAGTACTTGGTATTTCATTTAATTGTGTAGACTGTTTTAGTCTTTAAGAATATTTTTGTGTTTGTGTGAGATACAGTACTTGGTATTTCATTTAATTGTGTAGACTGTTTTCTGTACCAAAAACTTACTTAATAGGATAAATATTGAGGTTTTTGGATGTAAATGTATTGTATATATGTATTGTACAAGGAATATACAGTGTGATTTGAGTATTTCATAATGTTTTTAAGTATTCTTGTATCTGTATTTTATTGCTTTTCTAGTATTCATATATTGAATTAAATTGCAAAGAAATATTGATTATAGAATTTTAATCAATGTTTATAATTTGAGCAGATGATAATGGGAAGAAGGGAAAGTGGAAGACCAGTGAGGTGAAAAGATGGGGTGGAGTAATCATTGGACAGGAAGTAATGGGGATAGACACCTTGAGAACAGCAGTGTGAGTGAATGAGGAGGGAGAGAAGGGTGATGAGTGAATTTTAGGGAAGACAGAGCTAATGTTGGGGTTGTATTAAGTTTTACAGTGATGGGTGAAGTATTTTTGTGTAAAGAGTATGTCACAGCAGAGCAAAACTGTTTCAAAAGTGAGAATGAATGATTGACAGTTAATGAATGGGATGTTTGCTCTTGATTCTCTTCTCTATGAATTATAATTAGGAAAGGCTTGAAAGAGTAGGATTTTATTTTATTTTATTTTTTTGTTTATGTGAAACTTTTCTAAACCATAATTACTTTTACAGTGTCTTGATGAGTCAATGAACATGAACCACATTGACTCCTTCAAGAGGGCAGATGTATATGCCCTAGGTCTAGTATATTGGGAAATTGCAAGGAGATGTAATACAGGTAAGCCACACAAATATGTGTAAAGGAATTGTCATTTACTGTAGCTGGTATCTTGGGTAGAGGGGTGTCACCTAATTAGTGGGAGGGAAAGATGGAACAGTACGTGAAGGAGAGAATAGGGAGAGCAAATGAAATATGTAGAGACTAGAGGTAGAGCAGCTGTGGCCACCCTGAGGGTTACTCAAGCAAAGGGGCAGGAGCATCACACTTGTCACAATCATTATTACCTTCATCACTTGTCCTCATATCAGGGTGAAGTGGTGGGTTTGGCATTAGGTGATGGTGAGGAGGTGGTGGGTGTTGCTGGCTGGCTAGGAGAGGTGGGAGATGCTGGCTGGTTGGAGGTGACAGGCGCTGCTGGCTTCATGGCGGGCTTAGAAAATTACCGAATGGTGTAATGGTGGGACCAATAGTGGTTGTTGTGCTGCTGCATTTGAGTTCCTCTGGGGTGGTGACAACTGGCTTGAGGAGTGATGTGAGGCATGGTTGAACTGCAGCCTTTTTACAACATTGGACACCTCATGGTAGCACTGCAAGGCATTATGTAAAGATTGGCTAAAACTGCTGGTGCACTCTTATGTTAGGATTATTGTCTAACACTAATGCCTCAGTCTTAGCACATGTATCCAGGATCTCACTCAGGTTTTTCAGGGTTAGGCATTTCTCTAGCACTGGTGGAGGTGGTTCATCTTCGTCTTCTGAAGCACATTATTAGTTCTGATTATTGGGAATTTGCAGTATCTAGAATTCCATTATTGCGCGATATTACTATAGATTAATTATTGGTATTAATGATAAACATATATGGTAGTTTAATTTTCTTCACATTAATTAATTGTTAAACTCTTCAGGTGGTGGGTGTGAGGAGTACCAATTACCATATTATGACATGGTTCCCAACGATCCAACCATAGAAGAAATGCGAAAGGTGGTGTGTATGTACAAACAACGACCAATCATCCCCAACAAATGGCAGTCCTGTGAGGTTAGTATATTGATCAAATTTTTTTTTATTTCACATTTGATTGAAAAGTAAAAATATATAGACATTATTTTGTGTGGTTCTGTCCATTTGTTAAAATTTTTATTCTATAATAGCTAGTCTCACTAGAAGTAATATGGAATGCTAATTTAAGTTTGAGGCACTCAGTCTCCCTCTTTCCCTCCCAACTTACTTCCGTTCACTTTTTTATTCATATTTTGAGTGAGAAAAGCTATAAGTGATGCTTAAAATTTATTTTGAGAATGGTAGTAGTTTCTCGGTTACGTTCCTTGATTTAGCAGATTCTTAGAGTTGATATTTTGATATATCTTATACTGTTCACAGGACTTTTGGTAATGCCTTTACTACAGAAGATGAAATAACCAATGTCACATCAGATTTTGTAACTTATTTATTGTAAAATTTATATGAACTTATTTTGCAGTTTGTAGTTCATTCATCTTCCATTTTTTTAAAACAAAATATCCCTTTGTATTAGATGCAAGAGATATTTTAACCAATACTAATTGGAGGTAACTGATAATTTTGGAAATAACAGTAATTTTATGATGATCTACCTTCTCTGGAGTTTCTTGCTATGGCCTCTATTGTCTCTTTGGTATTTCTTTTTAGATCATTACATAGCCAGATGAAGTTATGCGCGTCTGACATCATGCCTTTCACGTAGTTCCATTCTGGTAGAAAAAATTGGAGCAGAGCTGATGTTATTAAGTCTCCCATGGCTTAATAATGGTAGAAAATGCCAGACATATTTTGATTGAGATAGTTCATTAGTCATTTCATACTCCCTTGCAGGTAATGGACCTCAGTACTGTACTGTACAGTGAATTATTTTTCTAGTGTTTTATCATGCCAAATTTACATGCTGTGACCATGTATGACAATAAGTTATATATATGATGATTAAATGCTGAGAGTCATTCTTCCCACTGATATTTTATTTTATGTATAAATTTTGTAAATGTTGTTTCATACTTTCTCAAATTCCATTTTCGTCACTCAGATTGTTCAGTCTATTTTCTGCAGGGGACATGGAATTGCACCATCCATTTGTATGTCAGTTTATCCATCTCCTAGACAACTTTGTTAGCAGGATTATGTAAACTGTATGTAGCTAGACTGTGTTTGATTCTTTTTATATTCATTGGTGATACAGGCACCTCTAGATTTACACAAATCTTTCTCTTTCCTTCACCAAAATCACCATATTTACAGAGGTTAGAGGGGCTGATATAAGTTATTATGTTTCAGGACTTGCGGGTAATGAGTAAATTGATGAAAGAGTGCTGGTACCACAATGCTGCAGCTCGACTCACTGCCCTTCGTATTAAGAAAACCCTCGCCAACTTGGGTGCCCATGATGACCTCAAGTGTTGAGCAGGTGCAAGTAGTGGTTGAATTGTGGGAAAATGGTTATGTGATTTAATGTGTTCAAGTATTAACAAATATCGACAAGCTTATGATTATGTCCTCAATTTGGGGGAAATTAATGATAATGCGGTTAGATATAATAAATATATGTGGGTGTGTGCATTTGTCCATGTGTGGGTGTATTATGTTTTAGCTTGTGCGAAAGTACATGTAATTATGTATGTATGGATGGATACACACACACTCAGATTGAACTCAATATGCGTCATGCTTACGTACATACACAAATGCCATATTATGTTATGAGGGAACTTAGGTGATTAAGTTTAGTGGAGAATAATGAAATGTGCTGTCAGGGTTTACAATGAGACATCAGAGCATTGTGAGTGAGAAAGTTAGTAAATCCCTTACTGATGCCAGTCCTCAAAATTGGGTTGACATATAACATTTCTGGCACCTTTTCCTCCTCCCTACAGAGACGTGTTTCATCTAATAATATGGAATGGATGATGAAGGCACCATTCAGAAAATTATTAAAAAAAAAAGAAGAGAAAGAAGAAGTCATAGAGGGATATGCTTGTGCTGGGAATTTATAAGTGTGGATTTATTTCAGTCTCAGTTGTAGTCTTTTTCTCAGACCAATCCCATTACTGTGTACCCACTAATGGGGATAATTTTCTCTGGTTTCAGGGATTGCCTAGCTGCTTGTATCACTGTTATGTATGACAACAGTGGAAGCTTGTTTAGCTGAACATTTGTGTTTTATATATATATATATATATATATATATATATATATATATATATATATAAAGTTTTTGTGTGTGGGGGTACATATAGGTGTTTGTGTACACATTTTCTTTGTGTATACCTACACATCTATAAATATTTGAGTGTGTGTACATGCAGGTGTATACTGTATGTACAATGAGAAAATGAAGCATCTTCCCAACTTTGGCCAAAGTATAATGAAACCTGACTGCCCCACAATGTAAATGGTGTCACTGATGACCCCTTTCCAAGGTTCCACAGGCCTGCCAACTACTTATGGGCTCCACACATGCATGTGTTGAATGGCTCAGCCGTTCTGCGAGGTATTCTTCAAAACCTCGGGAAGATACCTCATTCTCTCACTATACGTATACTGTATAGGCATATATACTCACAAAATGACAACCATTGTTAAGTGGGATGCATTTTTAAAGAGGTTTTATTTTATTTTTTAGGAGATACTTTGCTCCTGTAGAAATTGGAGTTATATCATCACTCGATCTTTGATCTCAACATTAATTGGTATGTCTAAATTCAAGCATAATTAAGTAGGAAACTGAGAGTGTGATGTATAGTGGGAAATATTGAAGTCACAGATTTTTGGGAAAAATTACTTTAGAAAAAACATTATGTTAACAATTTTAAAAGTAGGTTTACTTTTCAAAAATATTTCATAATATCTATAGGTTGTTTATTCCACAAAATTTATTTTCTCTATCTTTGTTGAGTGCTGTTTTTAAAGGATACAATAATATGTTTTGTAAATCTTGAAAGCGGTGAAGATGGTGTATTTATTTTTAATTCTTTTTGTAAATGATTAGGTGATGTGAGTGTTTATAGTTATTAATTCTTTTTTTAAGTGATTAGGTTGTTAAAACTCAAGGAGTATATTTTGTAAAAGTTTGTTCATGCCATACCATAAGTGGTCTTTACTTGGTGGTTCTCAGTTATCTGTTATTTGATATTTACGAAACTGAATTACCATTGAGTACTGTACTTCATAACAGTAGTCTTTGAGTCATTTGCCCCCCCCCCCAAAAAAAAATGCCATCTATACATTAGATATTACTTTGCAAAAATTATATTTCCCAGATTAATGGTTAATGCAATCATCAGCAGTGTTCTGAATATGATGCAGAGGAAGTATAAAGTAATTAATGTGACATTTATCACACCTTTTCCTAACTTTCACTCAGTCCTCCTTGGTCCATGGATAGGTATGATCCAATTTTGTATTTGGCTGTCTAAAGTTGTAAGATTTTTTTGAGAGTTGGAATAATCCTTTGACTTCAGATGTGAAAATGAAACTTTTGAATTGTTTAAAGAGGAGGAGGGGTTTTGTAACAACATTGGTGCAAGAGTTTTGTGGTGGCTGGGGACACAGCAGTTTTAAGAGAGTTGAACGGTTGGACACTCGCCATTATAGATATTGGTAATCATTGTATAATTGTATGATTTTATGGCTCAGTATTGAGACATTGTATAATTGTTTCCTGTTGCCCACTGATGGGACACCTAATTTTATATTGTCTTTCTGTAGTGGGATACTAATTGTTTCGCGTCTCACAAAAGTGGAACTATGTACAGCTACTACTCGACTTATGACCACCCGGACATACGACTGCCTCAGTCGTAACAAAATTTTGTCAAATTACGTATTTTTGAGTCCCGACGTAAGTGATTGCGCTGTGTACTGACAAAATTTTCGTTTGTAATTCACTTTAAAATGGCTGGCAAGCTTAAAAGTGAGAGTTTTGTGGTGCTGAGAAGAAAAAGAGACACCCATTTTTCTATGTATTATTTAAGAATTTTCGACTTACGACCTGGATTTGGGTCCCTAACCCCGTCGTAAGTCTAGGAGCAGCTGTAATTGTTTCATATTATGACGGGACACAGTAACTGTTTCTGGACTCAGTGATGGGACACAGTAATTATTTCTGTACTCAGTAATTGTTTCTGGACTCAGTGACTGGACACAGTAATTGTTTCTGGACTCAGTGACTGGACACAGTAATTGTTTCTAGACTCAGTGACTGGACACAGTAATTGTTTCTGGACTCAGTGACGGGACACAGTAATTGTTTCTGGACTCAGTGACGGGACACAGCAATTGTTTCTGGACTCAGTGACTGGACACAGTAATTGTTTCTGGACTCAGTGACTGGACACAGTAATTGTTTCTAGACTCAGTGACTGGACACAGTAATTGTTTCTGGACTCAGTGACGGGACACAGTAATTGTTTCTGGACTCAGTGACGGGACACAGCAATTGTTTCTGGACTCAGTGACGGGACACAGTAATTGTTTCTGGACTCAGTGACGGGACATAGTAATTGTTTCTGGACTCAGTAAACGGGACACAGTAATTGTTTCTAGACTCAGTAAGTGGGGCACAGTAATTGTTTCATGCCTCACTCAGCATTATTACAATTCCTAATCTTTAAACTAGGAATATTCAAAATAATGTTCATTTTTCTTTTGCCTTTTTTATTTCATTTATTCTAGTCTCATTTTATTAATTTAAATATTCTGTTACTGTCATTTACAGATATCTAGTGTATATTATAACTATTGAATTTTAAATTTTTAAAAAAAAGAATAACTGGATATTTATTTTTATATAGCTATCCTAAATTATTAAAAATCTAAATTATTGTGAAACTTATTTGTTACTGAAGAGATTATTAAAAAGGCATATACCAGGTAATAGTTATTTGCCTTGAGCAGGATTTGAAGTTCTAGATATCAGGTGTGTTTTATTTACATAGATATTTTTTATTTTATTTATTTTAAATTAAAATGGTTCCAATTCTCGACCATTACAGAGCTATTGCCCATTCCACCTGACCTCCCCCACCATTGCTGTAAAGTGGACTCACCCATGCTACACGGCCTCCCCCACCTTTCATCAATTAGTTTGCATTCAGCCTCCTTGGAAAGAAGTTATTTGTTCTGATTCTCTCAGTTCCTGTTAGTAAGTAGCCATTTCATGATTTACTATGAATATTATTTTTACAAATGAAGAGTACATTGACATTATTTTTGTTCATGGATTCTGAGATAGCAGTAGGAGGGCAGCTGTTGTAGGTTATCAGCGGCGATTTCCCAAGCGTAGACTCTCGAGCAGAGCAGTATTCAGTAGTGTACATCAACGGTTGAGAGAAACTGGGTCATTCCACACACGTGTCAGGGAAAATGCTTTACAATAAGGCATTTGGGAACAGGAAGAGGTACTGCGAATGGTAGAACACAGTCCAAGAGCAGGTGTTTGACAAATTTTCCATCTAACCAACTCGCCTCTAATGCATATATGGCAAACTTTACATCAGCAGAGACCCATCCCACTGTCAGCATGTGTAAACTCTTCAACCCAAATATTATCCTGCTCAAGTAGAATTTTGTTGTTGGGTTGTTGAACAGCGTTGGCTTGTGAATCGCATTATGTTTGCTGATGAAGCACAACTCCAGTGTATGGTCCCGACAATCCTCACCACACTATTGCAAGTAAATTTCAGCGCTGATTTTTGGTGAATGTTTGGTGCGGTCTTATTCACGACAGACTGATTGAACCTTTTATTATTGAGGGAAGCTTACCAGCAAACTACTACCGTAATATCCTATTGAATGAGCTACCAGTTCTTTCGAAAGAAGTTCCTATCAAGGCCACATCAAACATTTGGCTACAACACGATGGCACTCTACCTCATTTCAGCCGACAAGTCACAGAATACAGTACTGGATTCACTACTATGGAAATTGTTTGATTGGTTATGGGAGACCTCAGGCCTTACCTCTCATGTTCAGAGCTAAGAGGGCAGCTGGGTATTGAGAGAGTCGGTAAAGTTTTGTATATAGACAAGTTGAGATGGTTTGGGCATGTGGAGAGAATGGATGAGACCAACTTGGTCAAGAGATGCAAGAGTCTAAATGTGGAGGGGAAGAGAATCGGGCAGGCCAAGAATGACATGGGGGAGAAAGTTGTAAGAAATTACATGAGTTAAGAACCTAATGAGAGAGGCTGTTAAAGACTGTGCAGCAGGTAACCATGGCTAACCCACGTAAGTGTGGAACATGGTCATAAAACATTGTTGATGAAAATGTTCAGAAAATTTTAATCTAGGAGGATGTGACAAATATTGAAGTCATTCAATTTATTGCCACATCAAGACTAATTCGTTTAAGTCCAACACTTTTGACTCTTTCTTGGTTTGCATTATTTAGTAAATCTGACTTGCTCATTTTCAGGATTACTGTATATAGTACATTTTTTTTCACAATTGTTATTTTCTCTTAATTGAGTGGTTAGAAACAGTATTAATTATACTTACACATTGCCTACTTATTTGTTGCTGATTCATTCTAACTGCTATGAAAGATGCTCCACTATTTTTAAAATTATTCTTTATAAATAATTTCTTGTTCCACTGGGCTAATATATCTACATCACTATATTTACCAAGGTAAAATATTTTCATGTATATTCTTTGTAATTATCTCATGATGCAGAAAGTGGTAATATACTGTGAAGGAAAATCTACATCGTTTACTGTGTAAGGTAACTCCTCTGAGAATTTTTTCGTGAAAGCTTTTCCTGGTATAATATAAGGTGGATGGAGGCAAGCAAACACACACACACTCTCACACTCCCTGTTCTGCTCTCCTCTCCGTGTGTGTGTGTGTGTGTGTGTGTATGTTTGTTTGTTTTTGCAAACTCTGTTATTATGGTGCATAGTAACAGAATCAAGAACAAACCAAACTCCCATTCTTTCTCATAACTTCTGCTATAGTTGCAAAACATTAACAGTACAGTACTACTAAGTTTTTTTTACTAGATAAGAATTGTTTTTAAATTTCCTCCTGAAGCATTTTTCAATTCTCATACTATACTGTACACACAATCAAAGAAGTATCTTTATGGATGGGTCCAATGAATTTCAAAATGAATTATTGTGACTACCGTCGTCTCGGTAGGGTTGTCAAAATCTTTCGTCTGTTGTGTCAAATTGTCCAGCAAAAAATCTCAAGGATACCTTTTTGATAATGTGTACAATCTAAGAAACTACTATCTAACCAACTTTGGCCGATGAATATTGAATCCTGGCGGATTATACTGAAATTGTAATTGTGGCAACATCTGGTACGCCTGACTAGATACGAATGTCGAGTTGCTCAATGAATGATGGTTCAAAATAGTATAGTGGACATACTATTCTAGTTGTGGGGTATGGACACATGTAATGAATGGTCATCGGAGAAAGTAAATACTGTAACTGTGGAAGCTACCTCTTTCCAAGGTCCCACAGATCTGCTAACTGTTTGAGGTATACAGATGCTTGTGTTGGATGGCTCAACTTATTTGCAATGTATTAACCAAAACTTGGGAAGATAGTTTTTCTTAGACTATACATGCAGTTTTATGTTTTGAATGCTTTTGATTAATTTTTTTTTATCATGACATGAATGTGTTTCTTGGTACAGTAGTATCAATTTTAAATCAGGAGAAAGTACATTACAGGTGTATTTTAATGTTTCAATAAGATTCTTAATGCAAATACTTAACTGAATTAATCAATATATAGTTTACAATATGCATTTTCTATATTTTTGCACTACTACCTAACAAATTAGTTATGTTTTATGCAGACGGTAAATAAGTTCTCTTGAATTGTTATAGATAGTTCACAATCATTATATAATGAACATATTTTCAATATGAAGTCATTGGGAGGTTAGTTGCTGTAAATGAGATAAACACTTTGTAAAATAGAGTGAAACCAAAAAATAAATAAACAATTGTTAGAAATCTGCCCATTAGTCAGATACTCTCATATTAGGCTCAAAGCTTTATGTCTTTTAAAATAACTTAAAAACCCTTGAAATACAGGAGTAACATGAATGTTTAACTTTTGTTACTGTCATAGGGCACATCAATATTATTTCATTGTCTAAAATCATCCTTGTGGTGGTAATAACATAAATGTCAAGGAGTCAGAGCCCAAGCATACCTTAAACAGGCCCTGGCACTCATCAGACATGTGCACCACACTTTACCAACTAAATAGACAGTAAGACCACTCACAGTAGTGTCAGAGACTTTGTCTCTCAGGCTCCAAAGCTTTCCAGGCCTCAGAACAACAGTCCTTCTAGTTCCTTCTATGCTTGGCCCCAACAAGCAGTGCAGAGTTTTTCTGCTGAATGTATGTTCGTTCAATTTTTGTTATCATAAAATTCGGAACAGTTTAATTCTGAGTATGAAGTGACAACCGGTAATTTTTGACAGTTATTAACACCACACATCATTAAGCATGGATTTCTTGAACTGTGATATTAATTTTTGTATTCATTTATTTTTTATTTTTCTCAATTAGAAGTTTTACAAAAAATGCTTTTTTTTTAGATAGTTACATGGGTCAGCCATTTTCATTTGTACTTTTAGGCTTATTATAATAAATTTACTTTCTGCGAAGGATTTCTTTTCGTGTTGATCAATCAAGATATGGTATAAACTAGAGTAAATGTAACATATATCTCTTAAAAAGAAAGGTTTCTTGAACTTGTGCATAATTTTTAACTTATTCATTTATCAGTTGAATAACTTTGCTTAAAATTTCTTTTTGATTTCTCAGGTGTCCCTGTGTACTTTACAGTATGTCTCTTATTTTAATTTCTATTTATCCTACAATATATATTTGAAAGAACTTTTAATGCCTTTGACATTCTCTAGCAAAGATACCAAAGATATTGAAGATTGGTTTTGACTAGATAAGCTTTACAGTTAGTCATTGTTAGAAAGTATGGTCACATCTTTTCCTCAAAAATTTTTGTGGTTATAATTCATGAAATGTTGCTAACATGATTTAGCTAAATTTATTAATGTCTTATGTTTACATTTTTTTATTATTGGTTTACTTGATAGGCAATTATAAGTATAGCATGACAAATGACTATTGTATGCTTGTGTACAGTACAGTGTTTTGTTCTTATGACTGTAATGACCTGAAAATTATCCAGGAATTTGTGTTTATATGCTCGTGCTTGCTCATTGTTAGGGATCAAACTTCTGTTGCCAACTGTTGAATTGTGCCAACAGATAGAAATCATCTCTGAAACCAAAGCTTGTGCACTTGCCTGCCAACCACAGTTTAATTGCTACACAGGCAGATTCATTGTGATACAGCGTGGTTAATTAATTGTATTAGCAGTTCACATCGAGTGATAATGTTTCAACTTCCCTGAGTAAGAGAAAATATCTTTCTGGATGATGTCCAGTGTCTTGTATATAATCACATTTTATATTAGAATGATAATAGGGGTGTTGAGTAACTTTTTAGGATGGAATTGCTGCTTTTTAGTAATGTTAGGTTATATGAAGTGATAGGTAAACCAGATACTGTATATAGTTATATGGGGCCTTGTTGTGGAAATGCAATATCTTAGTGGAAAAAATCTTTGAACATCAGTAGTGGGAGAGGACTTGAGAAAAGAGACTGTGTATGTGCATGTATTAATAGTGTGTGTGAGAGACTGTGTGTGCGTGTATGTGTGGCAGAGGCATGTGTGTGTGCAGGGGTGAATGTGCATTTATGTACATGTGTGTATGTTTGCACTCGTGCGTGTGTGTTTGATGCACTTACTGTGCACTGTTGCCCTCACTATCACATTTTTTTTTTTTTTTTTTTTAAGGTTTCCCTGTGTAAGCAAATACGGGTTTCTTCAGTAAGAGTTTTGTGTTTATTCCTTATTTGTGATCTAGGATGTAATGTAAGCACTGCAATCAAACTAATGAATGTTCTCTTACTAATTGCAACACCAGAAACTTAAGAATGAAAGAAAAAACAGGTCTAGTAAGAGATATTTACAGTTAATGCTCTGGCTTGGCTCCTGGCACTTCATCTCTCAGTGGTCATTTTTAGCTGTATTTAATGTAGAACTTTTTATGCCATGAGCAAATTTCAAGTACAGTACATTATTTAGCAGTTCTGTATTAGAACTATCAGACATTTATAAAATGTAGAGGCAAGCAAATGAAAACAAAAGTACCATTTGTTTTTGTGCTTATAGTAGAGCATCGATGGATGGGGTACTTTATGAGAAAATTTTTTTGGCAAGGTATTTGTGATTTTTAAGCCATGTGTAATATTGTAACAAAATTCCCATATCATTTTATCTTAAACAAATCGGTCCAAAAAATTCATCAATGTAATGTAATGTAACACATGCAGGCATAGTATTTTTTTTCTCTTCACTTTTTACTGTTTTATGAACTTGTTTGTGTACGAAGATGTAGTATGAGCACAGTTATCTAATTACAGAGTGCTTATTTAATTATTAAAACACTAGAAAGAGGTTTGAACAATGTTTACTTGTGGTGACAGGGTGATTATGACACCATGGTGCTGGGCAAATTTGAATATGAAATCACAATGGTCACTGCCAGGGACATATATTCAGTATATTTTTAATATAATACAGTAAGTTGATGTTTTATATTGAAATATTCAAATATGTTTAAAATATATTTGGTAAGTAACTGGTAATACAATATTGTTCTCAAAATTTTGATGGTGTCTGTAGTTTTTCATTACAGTATTGTAAACAAGGTGTATGTAGAAAAATATATACTATATATTATTTATTATGTGACATACATTTAATTAAAGTAGTATTGAATAGTGGGAAGAATACCATAGGTGTATATACTGTATAATGAAGATATCTTGATACCTGAAACATTGCTGCACCCTGGATGATTGTCTTATGCTAGCTTTGCCACTCTCAGGGCATAATGAATTGAAACAAAAGGTTGGTGTTGACAGCTTGCTCACTTTCTGGGTGAATGTCCTGGCTTAACTTGGAGCAGGAATGATTCCAGTATGTTTTCAATATATATATATATATACCTGGTATATTTATATATATATATATATATATATATATATATATATATATATATATATATATATATATATATATATATATATATATATATATATATATATATATATATATATATATATATATATATATAAGGGGTAATTTTTTATACAACTTATTGTATGGGTGTGAAAAATGGACTCTGGATGGAAGATGTAAAAATTTTTGTGAGAGAAATGATGCACTTGAGAACAAATGTAAATAGAATGCAGAGAATAAGGAAGATATGTAGAAATGAAAGAAATGTTGTGTAAAAAAGTGGAGAAGAGAAAGATAGGTAAAAAGAGTATACGATAATTATAATAATTCAGAGGTGGATAGTAGAAGGGAGAAGAAAAGATCAAGGAGGGCGAAGGATGAGTAAAGAATACCCTAAACTGTAGAGGATGGGTGTCCAGTGTGCATGGAGGAGAGCTGACCCATATATAAAGTGTAGGTAATAGTAGTTTATACATTATTAAACAGCTGTGAAAGATAACTATTTATGTGATTTCAGACAATTTTCTTCATTTGTTAAAAAAAATATGAACGTTCTCTAAATTGACTTTCTGTAAATCCCAATAATATTTTAGGAACAGCAGTATAAATATTTGATTCTAAGATTGATTTGGTCACCCAAATACTTCATTGTTGGGTTTCAGAACAAATTTCCTCTCTATTATCAGGCACTGTAGCCTCTTCATTATGGAAATGTCAAATAGCCCCGGCGGGGTAATTAGTGGTCGTATATGACGCTTGGAACATTTTAATTACACATGTCAATGCTAATTACTCGCCAATTATGGGTTTCTGAGGTTCAATTTAGGTGTTTTTCCGTTATTCTGGAAGTACTGTACCGTGTGTGACCACCGCCCGTGACCCCACTTGGACTTACCCAACCTTAGTTATTCCCAAGTGAACCGCTGCCACCTAGTGGCTTATCCTTCAAACAGACTGCGTTGAACTTGGCCCGTAAACTCTCACAAGTTTAAATGTTTATATTGTTGACTATATATACTTATTTCATTGTTACATTTTCGTAGTTCCTTACTCTTAGGTGATGAAATGGTAATGAATTGTGTGTGTGAAGATTATTCTTTTAATAAATATTGCTTTACTCACCGTAAACTGGCTGCATCTACCTGAACTGCGACTCACAAACACGTGGTCCGGGCCGCATGTGGCCGCGGGTTTGCCCATGCCTGCATTAGGTGAACAAATGTTCATGCTTAGTTAGGTTATGTTAGATTATTTTAGGGTAGGCATGGTTTTTGTATCATTATGATAAATATGTAATTATTTCTTGTACTGTACAAGAGTAAACCCAACCCAACATAACGTGTAACTTCCAAACAATCCCTAATGTAGCCAAATTCAGCATGAAAATATCAGTTGTTCACCTAATAGCTGAATCCAGCATGAAAAAAATAATATTTATTATTATAATTGTTGGCTATTATAGTCAGAAAACTAATTTGCCTATTTTTGCAGTCATCAAGAAATTTACAACTGAATACATCACATCAAAAGTCTTTAGAAAACATACGTTTTCTAAAAAGAAAGCGACACTTGTTTATTCTCAGGGTGGGTCTCCAATGCGAGTCGGGTGGTGGACAGTTGACCTGGCGGGTTCTCCGAAGTCTGGACGCAGTTGCCAGCATTTGTTGTTGCAAGCCATGTAATTGTTACTTAAATATTCTCTTAAGGAGTGCTTACCGTATACTTTTATGGTTTAAATAAAAGATTTGAGAAATTTAACTTCTCGTCTATACATTATGTGAACAGTTGTCTCTCGAGCAAGGCAAGACAGCTGACAGTATACAGTACTTTACTTTATTCTCTTCGCCAATGATCAGCCTATTAACCGCTGGGATGGTTGGTCACGTCTCTGTTGGCAAGTACCAGTACTGTTCTGGGCATGTTCTGTATAGGTCTAAAATATGAATAGGATAAAATAATAATATTGATAAAACAATTGTCCTTTTTTTCATGTAATACTTTTTGTATGCTACAATGTATAGCAACAATTTCTTTCAATTGAATTTTGATATGCTGGAAGTGTCTGGCAACTTGTTGATTATATCATAGTCTCAAAGACTACTTACATTATCATCACTGATTGACTTTTCACGTATACCTGTCTCGTCAGTTTCAGTCTCGATTCTTTTATAATTTATTATAGTCCTCTTAAGATGAAATAAAAGTACATTTTATTCATTCTTTAGATAGCTACATTGTCTGGCATTGTGATGATATATTTACTATATCATTTTGTGAAACATCATTTGTCTTTTGGCAAATCTCCCTTGGATACAGTATTGTGTTTTAGCTCGATTATTTTTTATTAATTTGACAATCTAGGTATTCTAGGGTGATAGGTTAGGTGAGTATGTTGGGTCATACTTTGATACTTTAGAATGCATTTGATTACCCAGGGAAGGATTGTACAACAGATTTGTGTTCTTTGAAGTACAGTATAGGGAAGGGCTCCTTGTTGCCAAAAGGGGACAGTTGTATGTTACCATCTCAATTTTGTTCTTGAAAATGAAAGTAGATTCCATAGGCATGACTACTTGTTAGGGACATTGCGGACACTGCTCTCTGTATGCTGAAGATTCAGTATGTAAGGAGGCAGCGTGGCTGGCATTGCACTCCGTCATCTTCACTTTCCCATCTTATAAAATTAGGGACCCATTTACATCTGAATGGACCAAGAGAACCCAGATATTAAACCACCTAACCTGAGGACAGGAGTTAAGTGCTATAGATAATGCTGATGCACTTAAAGACCTACGAAAATCTTGCATCACGATATCGTAATGTATTTGAGGCACCCTACATGGTAAGGGTTACTCAGTCCAAAATTTAAAAGCCGAGAAAAATGCATTAAAGTTTTTCCAACTTCAAACATGCATAACTTTGTTGTTTTTTGAGATACATCATTCAATTTTGATGCATTTTGAAGCTAAAGGACTGCACTTGCAGATGGTAGGTAGTGCGTCATGAAGTAATGTACTGGGTTGTTGCAATGTTGAATTAGGGCAACAAAAACTCGCTTACGGCTTTTTTTTTTTACTTTAATTGATATCAGAATGTAGATCCGCCACAACAAAAGAGAACTGAGGGAGAGAGAGAGGGATTCCGGGCTCATTGGCTGGAGGGGCCTTGACGTAGATAGAAGACACTCACTGTCATTGGCCGAGATGGGGAAGGAGGCTGCTGGCCGCCTGCTCCTGTCACTCACTCGCTCACGGGATGATAGCACCTGACGACGCGAAAGCCAAGCCCATACTTTCCTGTCTGCCACAAATCGATGTTCTACCCTATTTTCAAAGGGCTTTCAACCTTATTTACAGTATAGTAATGAGATCTTATCAACTACTGTACCATCGTATAGAGCTTTGCCGAAAATACACTAGTGCTTTCCCCCCCAAAACGGGTTTTGCCCAGGGTGGTCTGAGTGAACCTTACAATGCGGGGGGCCTCATTTATCAATTTAGACATAATTCTGCCATGACCTTTCTTGAACAAAAATGGTGCTGTGGTGTCCTTACATTCACTGCACACCACATAGCCAATTTCTGCACCTAACAGTATTGTTACATGTCACTGAGGTGGAGTTTCCACCCAGAAGTGTATAATATTGTTTGCCTCTTTCCAGACAAATGCCTCATCAAAGAACCCTGGATAACTCTTAGCTCTTTTAAGAAATGCTAACTCAGAACTCGAGCCTTTCACCCTTAATTTTATGCTTTCTGTTGTATTTGACACAAGAAATTTTGAAGATTATTGTATCCCACTGCTTTTACTGGTATTCAAAATAATATTAATTTCTGGAGTGTCTTCAGTGTAGTATCATACGGTCTGAATCAAGGTGTAGGCTAATACAGTATAGTACCTGTATATAGATAGGCCACTAATATTACCAATTCTTTTTTTTTTAACTCCACCTGTTGGAATATATTAGACAGTAAATTGACCTTCTAGTTACAAGGTATACTTTGAGGAAGCAACATCTAAAGTCCTTCTGTGTTAAATAACATTTAGAAAAAAATTCCATAACATTCTAGGTAAATTTTTAGGAGAAAATTTGTATTTAAACAGCTGTGGTCTTGGAATACAAATTTTCATATATGGTAATCCATTTATAAATCCTTGCTGTATAGTAAGTGGTACACTGAAATAAAATTGACTTTTTTTTTATATGAATGCAGTACCTGTATACTATGATATTTTGGGGATTAAGTCTTCAAGTCTTAGTAAGGTTAGAATCAATGGTGTGATAATGCTCTGTAAAGGGGCCAAAGCTATTAAGAAGTTTTAATAACTTTTCATCAACTTATCAAATTTTTTGTGGAATATTCAACTTGGCAGTGTACTAAAAGTGTTTGCAACTTGCACACATTTAAAAAAAAATTTATTAAAGTAAAAACAAAATGTCGATTACACTGAAATTTAAGACGGCTTATACTCAATAGTATGTACAAATGATCATCAAGTATTTTGTCCAGTGCAATTATGTTTGAAAAGTATTATTTGCTCTGAATTTATTGTGTTGTAATACCTTCATTACGAACTTGTAATTAATCGGTAAAATTTACCCAAGTGTAGCAAAGATATAGAAATTTTCGTTTCTCAGAAGTAATTATGCTTCATGTCGGTCTGGGTGCAGCCGACAGTGATATAGGACATTGTGTGGAATTTTAAATAAATAAAAATATTTACCTGGTTACACTTAATTTTCAGTAAAATGTGTGAGATTCATATTAAGGAATAACTGACCATTTACGGAATGTAGAGCACAAGTTTATAGTTCACATTTTCCTCTTGCTGGTGGAATAATCCAGTTAGAAGTATAAATTAAAGAACATATTGGGTACATTATGTGGGAGACAGTGCTTTCCTTAGTTGAATGTATCATATGTGGTAATATGCCATTGTTTAATTTTTAACAAACTTTACAGCTATTTACTATGAGTTGTTCTCTTGAATCTTAGTTAGGAATTAATCTTTACAAATTTGTAATTTTGCAGTCCTTTTTTTTTTTAAATATTGATATTAATTTTTTAACATTTCATGATCTTTTCATGTTTATAAAATTGTTTTGTGGTCTTGTAACTTAAAATTTGTTTGTATTAAAGAGAGAGATGAAATACTGTTTGTTGCAATTTCTAGTAAAGGTTTTCCAAGGCATTAACCAACTACCAGACATAAAGTTGTCATTATGATTTTTGTCACTGATGAAAACCTTTAAGTACAAGTTCCGTGATAATGGAAAGTGTAATACTATCAGAAAACACATAATGGGAAACCTTACGAACCATGTAAGGTGTGGTGTTAGAGATTTTGTTGTCACCCAGAACATAGCTGCTTCACTATGTTCAGCCGTTTTTCCCTAAAACAATAAGACTGAAAAAAAAAAGATACAGTGAACCCTCACTTTACGCGGTCAATTGAACCCACGGCGGCCCGCGTAAAGTGAGAAACGCGTAAAGTGAACAACATAACATATGGGATTAATTGAAATAGAGACCGGGCCGAACCCCAAACTCCACTTTTTCAGACACAATACCTACGTTGTAGTAAAAATAACTTTTTAACTTTATGATGGTATGCACACACATTTTAATAATTAAGAAAAATATCAATATTAGGTTTTTAACACTTATATTAGAAGAAAAGATGGCTGGGCACACGGGGATGGGGGGTTGGTTCCGAGGCAGAGGGCAGATTATTGGCCCTCACCTGTATCACTTGTATCAATAGTATCACTATCCACCACAGAGGCTTGCAGGGCTTCTTTGTCAAGCCCCTCAAAGTCCATATAAGTCCATATCCTCACTATCATTATCACTATCACTGACTTGGGCCGGCTGTGGTGGGTGGCGGGAGAAGAACTCGGTAATGTTTTGATGACTGGGCGACCTTGTGCGCACCCTGCTCGCGCCGCTCTCCTCGTAAAAGGGTACACACACCGCGGAAAGTGAGCATTCCGTGTTCAGCAGGGTACCGCGTAAACGTGGAAACGCGTAAAGTGGGACCGCGTAAAGCGAGGGTTGACTGTAATTCCTAATTAGGTAACACAAACAGAACAGTTTCAAATATTTTTTATCGGTTAATAACAAATTTAACAGTACAGCTGTATGCAAATTATAAGTTGACCGATTTTGTGAGAACACATTAATATATTACCCTCTTAAGACATATATCAGCATGTCATATAGTCAGTGGTAATACTGTATATACAAATCCTGGCTTCAGCATATTGAACTTTCATACTCAAAATATTCTTTTCAATAATATTCCAATAATAGAAGTTGAAAAAGGATAGAAATAGACCCTTGTATATCTTAAAGTCTTAATTTTTTGTTATTGATTATAGAGCTACCCTGAAATATAAATGACATGTGGGTATGTCATAAGTGGGAGAGATACTATTACAAATGCAAGTCGTTTGTCAGTAGCAACACCACATTATCCTCATTCCTGTCACATGCCAGTTATGAAATTCCTTGTTGGTAATGGTGAATAGTTGGGATAGTTGCACAATAAAATGATGGGAGGCATTCCTTAGACACCACAGACACTGTGTTAACTAATATTCTCCATGTGACAGATTAATCTTCATATACAATACCGTCATAAATACTGAACAGTACTAGTAAATTGTTTCCTTAATTCATAATGTGTATGAATATGACAGCAAAACTCTTAACAGATTCTCTTAAGCAACGAACCTCACTTGTAAGGCGATTGTTTATTATGCCAAGGAAAATAAGTCTTAAGAATTTAAAGGTCAGTGTGATTGTATGAAAGCATGTAAGAAATGGATGCTTGGCAGTTTAGGGTTTACAGTGTGACAAAAATAGTATGGTTGGTTTTGGAGTTTGCCTATGCTACCTAGGTTTAAATATGAAGATACAGTAAACCCCTTTAGTAATGTTTATTTACAGTCCAATTCATCTGAAGCATCATCTCCATATTAAAGAGTATGATTGTAAATGTTTCCGATGTAGGAATTGCTGTCAACATGATTGGAGGTTATGGATTTTTTTTTAACTTGTAATTTGTAAGTTTGTTGGAGTAAACAGCCTTTTTACTGTGATAACAATGGCCAGTGTCATATATGTATTTTGATGAAGTGTGAATATGATCTCATTCCCAAGATCTACACAAAGTCAAATTGCAAGCATAAAGAAATAAACGAGCTTTATGTGAGATACAGTGGTGAATTTAAGAGCCACTTTGGAAGCAGGATGAAGGTCATATTCATTTTTTAATGAGTAAGAATTTAACTTAACATTAATGTGCATATTTTATTGATATAACGGTTTTCATTTGTTACATGTATCAGACACTAGGTCATACAAAATATGGAAGTTGGTTTATAACAAAATAGTTAAGTAGTTACTGTCTTTCACATGAAGTCAATTTGAAAGATACTGTACCTCTTGTCACACATGCTAGGATCACACCTTAAAACTGAGATGATATACCTATGTAGTTTAAGGGAAGATACCAGTCCATTGAACAGTTTTATGATATATTGTACCCTAATGAAGGTTTGTGTTTTTTGTTATTTGAGCTTGTCCATGTTTTGAATGAGAAAAATTCCTAAGAGGTTATAAATGGTATTAAACCCTTGATATGCATGCCTGATTAGACAAGATGCTGTACCATAGAAGTCAATAAAGCAAGAAACTCTACAGATGTGCACCTCAGAGCTTTATATGGTTAATCATAATCAGCAATGTATCCTAGTTGGTTACTTAACCAGAGTGTTCTTGTTGGTTACCTGTAGTACCAGTTGGGTATGCTGGTTGATTATCCAATAATCTCTACCAGCATATCCTAGTAAACTCCTAAAGCTTCTTACTTGTGGGTCAGTTTTTGTGTGTACTCAACTCAATAAAAGCTACCTCTGTGTTAAATCTGTACCTCAGCTTTGAAAAGTTTTGAAACAAGTACTAAGGTATGTTTCTTATTGGAGAAAATTTATGCAGTATTTTATTTATCCTTTTTTTCATAGGCTGGTTTTACATGTCTTTATTTGTAAATAACTATTTGCATTAGGTGGAACTTCTTGTAGTTTTACTACTTGGCCCCAGAGCCATTTGTGGGTCAATATGGTAGTAAAAGTGCTTTTAGAATATCATTTGTATCCTAGTACTGCTCCAAAAAGGTGGAGCACACACAGAGGTACTGCTTGTAGTGCACAATGCAGAGCAAATGTTGCCCACCAAGTTCAGCAGGATGATGCCATTGCTTTTAAAATACCGGACATGGGAATGTACACTATGTCTAGCCCGTCGGTAGATCTACTGCTAAGGACAATATTGGACTAATGCTTCTGCAAACAAACTTAAAGGTGGCTGCTTATAGGATGGTCCTCTGCTCATACAGTGAAAGTTGTCTGATTTTTAAGTCTGTTGGAATATTTATTCAACATGACCACTGCACCCAAGGTTAGGCGAGGACAGCTTTTCACAGTGCTCTTGGGAGTGTCTGTGTACCTGCTTTTCCTTTTTTACTTTTTTTCTTCATAGATTTCTTGCATAGAATGGGTAGGCTTGAGAGTGTCTGTGTATCTGCTGTTTTTTTTCTCTCTCTCTCGTTGATTTCCCGCATAGAAAAGGTAGGGCTTGTGAATATTGAAGTTTGCAAGAGCAAGCCCTGAATTTTTTATTTTTTATTTTGTGTTTCACATTTATAATATACAGTATACATAATTCAAATGGATTGTGTATGTTTGTGATAGTAACTGAAGGGATCAGTAGCTACAAACTAAGTACAGTATTGTACACATTTTAGTAAATATTCCAGTGAGCTAAGTGCATGCCATTGGTGTTCCAAGAGTGAGTGACTAGAATTTGAGACACCTGGGAACTTTATTTATTTACTTTATTTAATTTTTTCTTTTCTTTTTTGTCATGGGATGATGAGAAGTGCAATGCTGGGAAAGATGTAATGATTATGTATGATTGAACATTTAAATTTGACCAGGAGCCCCTTATAAAACTAATGTCATAAGTGCCCTTTGTATTAATTGTACAAAGAAGCAGGTAGTGAAGCAGTGAATTAAAAGAGGGCACAGGAAGAATAGTGATGTGAAGTTATGCAATTTTTTTCCTGCAAGTTTTCTGGAATGTGATTAAAATTTTTACATTGAATTGCTGTTATCAATTGGTTTTAGATTGTTGGAATACAGCACCTTTACATATTATGGAACCTAAATGTGCATAATTGGTTGTAAATTATGTGTAAGGATGTATATGTTGTGTAGGCATGTTCTGTATTATTTTCTGGCTTGGCAGCCCAGAATGTGTTTTGGAGTTACAGAAGCTCTGCACGTCTTTACCCTGGGAGTATTGCCTAAGAGGATAGGCATTTCTGACACTGTGCTGAGCACGCCTCATGCTTTTCAAGAGCTGTATATTGCATCTAGCGTCCTGTCGTTAATATTATCATCATTATTATTATTATTATTATTATTACTAGTCATCAGATTATGCCTTTGATAGGTAATACATCACTCGGATAACTGTATGGATCATGTGCAGTCTTTCTTACTGCACTGTTTGTTAAATACAGATATTTTATGATAAGTTTAGTTTTATTTTTATCCTATCATGCTGGAGACTGTTCCAGTACAGTACAGTACTGTACTGTAACAGCCTGGATGTGTCGACTTAATTTTGAAAATAATTAATATTGCTCTGGAGAACATATGATAACCTCCAGGTGAGAAGTATTTAAGCATCTCAAAGGATATAACTCAGTCAAGTGTTCATATCTGGAGCTAGCAGATGCTTGTTCCGTTAGAGGACACAGCTTCAAGTTAAAGAAACCACAAGTACAGGAACTTTACCGAGTAGAGCCTGTTTTCACGGCCGTCTTTAATGTCCTGTAGCCATCGATGTTGTCATACTGGCCTCTTTGGTGGATGTCGTTTATTAATATAGTACCTGCTGCCCATCAGCACGAGAAAAATGAGCTATTTCATCTTGCCCATCCAGGCAGAAAGCAGTAGTGCCCATCTGTGTGTTGCTGAAATTAGTCAAAGAATTACTTTAAAATTTTAGCTAAATAATAAAATTCAGTTTTATTAATATAATCACTCTTAAAAAACTGACATTAATCGCCACACCTTGTTTATGATTATTTAAAGGAGTCTTCATTTCATGCTTGTACATTTCCCTGAGTTCTATATTATTCCTAGTTTATTTTTTTGCTTTTCTTGAGAAATGAAATGTCATAAGGTCCAGATAATGCAGCATGGCAGAGGGAAGAGTGCAGGAAACTCCTCTTGATCTTAAAAAAGAAGAAAGAGTAATTGAGGTGCGACGGGGGTGGTAGACCTGCTAATATTAGAACTTTGGTGAACTGATAACAAGTGGTAGGACTGAAGTGGTAAAGATAACCCACACGTGGAAAATCTTTGCATAATACATGTGCTGTGAAAGTATTTAAGGCCACTTGTTAACACTTCAGCACCTAGTCTGTATCAGTTAAGGAATTGATAAGAAATGAAACACGAATATATTCATAGCAACTGATATATTTTCATCTTGTCAAGGTCTATAGTATCACTAATATCACAATGTTTCTGGGAGGACCCCTGGGGGCTCCAACACTCTTGGGGACGCCATTGCGGCTGGGAGGGCCCTTGGGAGGCCCCGTGGGGGTGCCGTCTTCAATGCGAAACTATTTTGGGGCATTGCGTGCCTCAGGGAGGGTCCCTGGGGGTGCTGTAGCCCCTGGAAAGGTCCATGAGATTGTTGCCATCCCTGGGAAGATCCATGGATGCGCTGCCGCAACAGCGAGTACCACTGGGGTGGTCCCTGCAGGCATCGCCAATCCTGGGGGATGCCGCCGCCCTTGAGAGAGTACCTGGGGGCGCCGCTGCCCCTGTGAGGGTCCTTGGCAGTGCTGCCATCCCTGGGTGGGTCCCTGGGGTTGTTGCTGCCCCTTAGAGGGTCCATGGGCGTGCTGCTACCCCTGGGAGGGCCCCTAGGGTCTCTGCCGCCTTTGGAAGAGTCTCTGGGGGCGTCGCCACCCCTGGGAAGGTCCCTTTGGGCGCTGCCGCCCCTGGGAGGGTTCCTGGGGGGTGCCGTCGCTGCTACGAAGGTTCCTGGGGGCGCCAGTGCACCTGAGAGGGTCCCTGCAGGTACCGCCATCCCTGGCAGTGTCCCCGGGGGATCCGCTGCCCCTGGAAGGTTCCTTGGAGCGCCACCGTCCCTGGGAGGGTCACTAGGGTGCTGCCTCCCCTGGGACGGTCCCTGGGGGCACCAGCGCCAGTGGGAAGGTTCCTAGGGTGCCGCTGCCCCTGGGATGGTTCCTTAGGGCGCCGGCGCTCTTGAGAAGGTCTCTGGGAGCGTCTCTATCCCTGGGAGAGTGTCTGGGGACGCCACCGCCTCGAAAGGGACCCTTGGGGTGCCACCACCACTGTGAATGCCCTTGGGGGTGCTGCTGCCCCTGAGTGGGATCCTAGGAATTTCACCCCCCTGAGAGGGCCCCTGGGATGGCCACCCCCCTCCTCCTTGGAGGGTCTTATGAACTATGGGTTTCCAAGGTGTGATGTAGGGTTTGTGTGTTATTCTGAAAGTACTTAAATAATTAAACCCCTTAAATTTCAATTCTGAGAAAAAAGTATATTTTGGTCAAAAATTTTGTCAGGTGTAAGACTTACATTTTTGTGGGTTATTTTGGACACTAATTACTCTGCAATCGAACCGTGGACCACATATTCATAATTAGCAAGCTCAGGAGTACCCATATTGTGATTTTCAGCAAAGCCTAATTTTTGGCGGGGACTTCGCCGTCTCTGGGAAGGTCCCTGGAGGCATTGTCGTCACTGGGAAAGTCTTTGGGAGCACCGCCGCCCCTAGGAAGGTCCCTGGGGGCCCCACCTCATTTGGGACGGTCCCTGGGGTCGCCACCACGGCTGGGACGGTCCCTCGGGGCGCCACCGTTGGTGGAACGTTCCCCGGTGGCGTCATTGCCTCTGGGAGGGTTCCTGGGGCGTCGCCGCCCCTGAGTGGGCCCTAGGAAACGCCACCATCCCTGGAGGCACCACCACGCCTGGGAGGGCTCCTAGGGGCGTCTTCATCCCAGAGAGAGCCCCTAGGGGCGCCGTCGTCCCTGGAGACACTACTACCCTTGGGAGGGTTCCTGCAAGAGTCCCTGGGAGCACCGTCGTCCCTTGGGGCCAATAGGAGAATAGAGCAGTCACTCAACACAACACCACAACTTGTGTTTTCCTGTTGGATATTATTCTCTGTTACCTTCTTCAGAATACGATGATACTGGAAATGTGATGGGGGGGGGTGTATGTATTTAATGTTGTATCTCCCAGAGTTCTAAATAACGCAAAAATACTGCACTCAGGGGCCCTCCAGGTTTGGCGCTCCCAGAGAACTCCTACATGTAGAGGCGGCGGCGTCCCCATGGGTCCTTCCAGGGGCGGCAGCGCCCCCAGGGACCCTCCTAGGGGCGTTGGCGCTCTCAGGGGCTCTCTCAGGAGCGATGAGACCCCCAGGGGCCCTCCCAGGGGTGGTGGCATTCCCAGGATCAAACTCAGGGGCGGCAGCGCCGTAAGGGGCCCTCCCAGAGGTGGTGTCGCCACCATGGGCCCACTCAGGGACGGCGGTGCCCTCATGTACCCTGCAGAGGTGGTGGCGTGGTCAGGGCACCTTCAGGGACAGCGTCGTTCCCACGGACCTTTGCAGAGACCCTTTCAGGGGCGTCAGGGCCCTTAGGGAAGCTCCCAGAGGCGGCGGGGACCTTGGGACCTTCCCAGGGCCGGCGGGGCTCCCAAGGACCCTTCCAGGGACGGTGGCACCTCCAAGGTCTCTCCCAGGGGCAGCGACGCCTTCAGGGTCCCTCCCAGGGACGGCGGCGCCACCAGGGACCCTCACAGGGGCGGCGACGCCCCCAGGGATCATCCCAGGGACGTTCTAAGGGGCGGCAAGCCTACAGGGGATCTTCCAGGGCTGGTGGAGCCACCGTGGGCGCTCCCAGAGGCTGTGGTGCTTCCAGGGGCCCTCCTAGGGTCATTGGTGCCCCAAGGACCCTCCTAGGGACATGACGCGCCTCCAGGGACCCTTCCAGGTGCGGCGATGTCCCCTAAAACCCTCCCAGAGGCGTCGGTACCCCTAGGGGCCTTCTCAGGGGCGGTAGTACCCCTAGTGACTCTCCCAGGGGTGGCGACTCCCCCAGGGACCATCCAAGAGGTTGATGGCGTGCCCAGGGGACCACTCAGGGGTGGCCCCGCCTCCAGGGGCCCTTCCATTGGTGGTGACACCACCAGGGGGCCACCCAAGGGCGACGGGGCCCCGAGGGACCCTCCCAGAGGCGGTGGCGCCCCCATGGATACTCCCAGAGACAGCTGCGCCCCAAGGGACTCTTGCAGTGACCCCACTAGGGCCGGCAGTGCCTCCAGAAACCCTCCCAGGAGCGGCAGCACCCCTAGGGGCCCTCTCAGGAACACCGACACTTCCAGGTGCACTCCCAGTGGTGGTGGTGCCCCCAGGGAACCTCTCAAAACCCCTCCCAAAGTTAGTGGCATTTCAAGGACCCACTCAGGGGCAGCAGCGACCCTAGGGGCCCTCCCGGGGGTGGTCGCGCCACCACGGCCCAGTCAGAGGCAGCGGCTCCCCTGGGGACCATCTCAGTGGCGGTGGCGCCCTTTGGGACTTCTGCACCCCCACGGACCTTCCAGGGACCTGCTCTGGATCGTAGGCGCCACTAGGGACCCTCCTAGGGGCGGTGGCGCCTCTGGGGACCTTCTCTTAGGTGGAGGGGCTCCCAGTGGCCCTAACAGGGGTGGTGGAGCCCAAGAGGCCATCCCAGAGGCAGCGACGCCTTCAGGATCCCTCTTAGGGACAGCGGCACCCAAAGGGACCTTCCCAGGGGCGCACCCCCCTTCCCAAGGAGCCTACCAAGGTGTCCTCAGGGGCCCTATGGCATGCTTGTTCGCTGCGAGGGCCCCAGGGGGCGCTTTCGCTCTTGGGAGGCTTCCTGTGCGTGCCGCCGTCTCTGGTAGGTTTTTTGACGCGTTACCGCTCCTGTGAGGGTCCCTGAGTGCGCCGCCGCCCTTTGGAAGATTCCTGGGGGCGCCGCTGCCCCTGGAAGTGTACCTAGGGTTACCACCGTCACTGGGAGTGTCCTTGGGATAGTCCCTCAAGCCAGCCTCAGAGAGCCAAACAATCTAAAAGAAATAACAAAATCTTTCCCCGCATCCACACACTCTCCTTCCCATCCACCCACCCTTCCTCCCACCCACCCCTTCCTCCCATCCACACACCTTACCTCCCATCCACACACCCTACCTCCCATCCACATACCCTACCTCCAATCCACACACCCTTCCTCCCATCTACACACCCTAGAAAGAAAAATAAATTAATATTTGATGATTTTGATATTCTTCTTGAGCAAAGAGCGAGTCATCAGTCGAACATTAACTCACGTCTCACAGCCTAAAACCCTAAATAATAATAATAATAATAATAATAATAATAATAATAATAATAATAATAATAATAATAATAATAATAATAATAATAATAATAGTAA